TGTTTGCCTATAATTTCATTATTTATTTATTTCTTTATTTATTTGTCTTACTGTGCAGCCTAAGCTAACCTTAAATTTGCAGCCCTCCTCCAGATTCCCAAGTGCTGAGATTATAGGTGTATACCGATATATAAGGCTTAGAATGAAACTTTAATTTAATTGGTTTTCTGTGTGACTTTAATGTTTGTTTTTTTTTTTATTTAAACATTTTTCTTTTTAAAAAATTTTATCAGAGGAGACTATTTTAGCCCAATAGAAGTTAACCCAATATGAGTCCATGGGGTTCACGTTGCCACATGTATTCATATTTCTACTGTGGAAAGTAAAATTTTATTTAAACCTTCACTATACTACCATTTAAAGCTGTGTGTGCGTGTGTGTGTGCGTGAGTGTATTTGTTTAGTTTTGGTGCTGAGCATTGAACTGAGGGCCTTGCCTGTGGTAGGCCAGTGCTGTGAACACAGAGCCTCAGCCCTCTCTTAGTTATTATAGTAAATAAAATTAATTATCTGAAGTATCATGACATCTTTTTGATAGTATGAAGTTTTATCATATTGAACAGTAAAAAGATTAAAGGTGGGGGAAGTTTTAAGAAATACTGTTGGATTTTTGTTATTGTTGTTTTCTCATGGATGGGCATTTTGCCTAAGTCTATGTACCATCTGTATGCCTGTTAGACACAGAGGCCAGAAAGAAGCCTGTGTCAGATCACCAGGGACTGGTGTTACAGACAGTTCTGAGCTGCCCTGAGGGTGCTGGGAATCAAACGTGGATCCCCTGGGAAAGGAACCACTATTCTTAACTGCTCAGCCATCTCTATACCCCAAGATACTGTGTCTACCTTAGCTTTGAGTTTTTCTGTGCTAGCAGGTTTTTCTCAGTAAACCTTTTGCAACATATTTCATGTACTAGGTACTAGACATTCACATATTAATAAAATATTAAGTAATCATAAGTCAGAATGTTTCCTTATTCATTCATTCATTTAGTTTGGGGCTACCTTTTGAGACAAGATCTTGTATGTTGTTCTGTGTGCTCTGGAATTCACCATGTAGCCGAAGCTGGCCTCAAACCCTGTGCTTTAACCTTTCCTGAGTGTCGTGTGTGGAGAGATGAGCAACCTTTCCAGGCTGTGAGTTCTTCCCTCCTAAGCCTCATTTCTGGCTCTTCTAAACCACAACTACCACCTCTACATTGAGTTTCCAACAGTGAAAGGGTGGTGGGCTGTTTTCTTTATTTTACACCCTCACTTTTGTAAGATTCTGCTTCCCTTCCCTCTATCCTATCAACTTCCACCACACCACACTGGTGGAGTCAGTTCTGATTTGACAAAGGATGGCAGGTTATTCCATCCTTACATCTCGAGAGCTGAACTGTATTGCTATAAAACACAGAATAACTCAGGGAGTCTGAAGATGGGTAAGCCATCATCTTAAGATTAAGATGACTGAGGAGACAAGAGGTGCTAAGGCAAACTGGGGAGCATTTTGGGGACCGGAGATACGAGCAAGAGCAAGGTGCCCCTTCTGTTACTTTCTTGGCTGGATGCATCCTCCTGCCATTTTATGAGGTAAAGTATCAGAACATGGATTCCATCTTTGTCAAGAGTCAGTCTAGGCATTCTTTGCCCATCAGTACCTCAAGCCTAGTTTTTTTTCTCAATTCCCTAATCTGTATACTGAAGCCCTTCCCTTCTAATACCTTCCCCAAACTTATATAATTGCTTGAGGCCTACAAGATTTTCGCTTCTCTATAATGCTGCCGTGTATGCCTGGCATACCACTACTACGACCGCTTCCTTGCAGGTGTAGTGCTGACACCGACCTAGCTGCCAGAGGGTAGGAAGTTGTTCTGTATCTTCAGTGTCTCTATCAGGCTTGTCTGTCCTGTAGCCCAGGGATGGCCTGGTCCCAGGCTAGCTATCAGTACAACTGGATATGGTTGTAGATGACAGCATGGAGGCATCGTAGTTCAGTGCCGAAAGGCTGGACTCTGGTAGGTGATCTTTGTTAGGAAACACTTTTCTGAAGGCTTATTAATTTTTCCTTCCCTCTCAGATTCATCCAATTAATAGCCAAGACACTCGGAATTTACATTTCTAGAGACCTGAGAGAAGACAGTAAATAACACAATAGGTCAATTATATAGTGTGTTAGAAGGTAAAAAGTGCCAAGATAGAAAAAATAAATAAAATAAAGCAGGGGAGTTGGGAAGGTAAGGGAGAAGTCACGATGGTTTGCAGCTTTAAATAATTGTTTAAATTATTTACACTTATATTTAGAAGATGAGGCTTTAGAAAGGAAGGAAGGCAAAGCTACAAGTCTCAGAGGAAACACTAGTAATTCCAGCGGAGGGATGTCACTGCCAAGGCTCTGAAGAGTAGGAGTTTGCTTGGTATGTGTTTGAGAATGGCAAGGAGCCAGTATGCTGGAGCAGGAAAAGCCAAAGCTCAGGTAGCTAGAAGTGAAGTTAGAGGGACAATGGTAGGTATATTTATAGAGTTGCTGTAGTGTGGGTGTTTGTGAACCCTTCAAATGCCTAAGTTGGTACCTAATTCCCAGTGCAGTAGTGTTAACAGGTGAGGTTTGGGGGCGGTCATTAGGTCATGAGAGCAAAACCTTAATGAAGAGGCTGGAGTGATCTTGCTCATCTCCCATTTGTGGGTGTCAGAAGGCTCCATCTTTGAAGAAAGTAAGCTCTCACCAGCCACAGCTATATTGGTATTCCCAGCCTTCAAAACTGTGAGAGATAGGTGTTTAATACTTATAATATCTAAACAAAGGTGTTTTGTATAACATCCAAAGCAAACAAAAAGCAGGTATAAAATCTAAAAACTTGATAAATTAGACTTCATCAAAATTTAATACTTCAAAGGTAAAGAATTCTTAAAGATCAATAGGCATACAGCTCAGATAATGAATCAAAAATTGAACATAACCCCCCCCCCCAAGGTATGAAGACGCCTAAGCATGCAAAAAGCTGCTCAGTATCACTAGTCCTAGAATGTGTTCCAGCCACATTGTAACAATACAAACCACAGCATCTCTTAAATAAAAGGTTGAGGCAACAATTGTGGGTGAAGACCGGGTGCAGCTACAGCTCTTGTAATACAAGGGTTTGAAAGTTTGCAATGCACTGTGGTGATTTTTTTGTTTTGTTTTGTTTTCTTAAATGAAGTGAAACATAAGCAAGCCTAAATCCCAGTAATCCCACTCAAAATATTCCCACAAGAAAGGGGGGAAATTAAATAACAACAACAAACAAATAAAAGACAGACTACAGAAAGACTTGTACTCAGGTGTTCATGCTTATTTACAATAGCTGTAAACTGGAAACAATCCAAAATATAAATGTTGTTGTATTAATTCACAATAATACTACTTAATCATAAAAGGGAACAAACTGAGTTGCTGAGTTGTATAGTAAATTTTGATGAGACTCAAAAGCATTCTTTC